TTGGATATATATCCCATGAAAATCACGAATTTTGATGAAGTTATAATTAATATTAGGCCGAATGGACAAAAATTAACCAAAATAGTGGGTTATAGTTCATGAAAATTGTAAACTTTAAAATACGCCGAATAATTCTATTATGTTGAAATGAAAGAAAATGGATATAAATCATTGTTTATAGCCCATGGAACTTGCAAAGGTTGAAGTACGGGTCGATTAGGTCGAAAGAAACGAAAATATACAGAAATTGTAGGTTATAACTCACGAAAATCACAAGATTTGCAAGAAAGAAAACTTAATTATCATTAAGTCAAAATGGTCAAAATTGGATAAAAATCATGGGTTATTATTCTTAAAAACTACGAATTTTGAACTATGCATAAGTAGTTGTTACTTGTTGAAACAGACAAAATAAATAAAAGTTGTGAGTTATAACCCATAAAAATTGCTAATGTAGTACACCAAATATGTTTTATTAGGTTGATGTATGCAAAATAATTTCTTTTAGTTCGAAACGAATGAAAATGGACAACATATCATGGGTTATATAGCATATGAAAATTGCGAGTTCTGAAGAAAGAAAATTAATTATCATTAGGTGTAATTGACAAAAAGTGGAAAAAATCATGGGTTATAACCCATGAAAACCGCAAACTTTAAACTATACATAATTAGCTGTTATTGGGTGGAAACAGGCAAAAATGGAGAAAAATCATGAGTCATATAGCCCATGAAAATTGTGATTTTTGAAGTACGGAAAAATTCCATAGGTCAAAGCATTAATTACATCAATTTGTTGCTATTGGTGGGTTATAGTCCATAAAATTTTTGAATTTTGAAGTACACCAAAAGTTTTCTATTAGGTTGAAACAAATGAAAAAAACATAAATTGTAGGTTATAGGCCATGAAATCGTGAGTTTTGACGAAACATCTTATTGGATTGAAATGGACAAAAAAGTGAGTTATTGTCTATGAAAAGCACGAAGTTCAAAGCAAAATAATTTAATTGTCATCAGGTTGATATAGACAAAAGTCGACAAAAACTGTGGGTTATAGCCTATGAAAATTGTAAATTTTGAAGCACGCCTAATATTTTCCAATAACGAAACAAACAAAAATGAATAGAAATTGTGGGTTATAGCCTATGAAAATAGCCTATGAAAATTGTAAATTTTGAAGTATACTAAAACAATTATCATTACATTGAAGTTAACAAAAAATGGAAAGAAATCGTGGGATATAGAACATGAAACATGCAACATTTGCATTACGCCATTTGGTCGAAACGAACAAAAAAGGATAGAAATCATGGGTTAAAGCCTATAAAACTTGTGAATTTTGAGGAAAGAAAATTGAATTATTGTAGGTAATTGGGTCGAAATAGAAGAAAATAGACAAAAATTGTAGGTTATAGTCCATGAAAAGTGCAAAATTTTAAGTGCGCCAAAAGGAATTTTGTTAGGTCATGAAAATTGCAAATTTTGAAGTACGCGAAATATTTTTCAATAACGAAACAAAAGAAAATAACTAGAATGTGGGTTATAGCTCATGAAAATTGCGGATTTTATAGTATACCAAAACAATTGCCATTAGTTTAATATAAACAAAAATGGAAAGAAATCGTGGGATATAGAACATGAAACTTGCAAATCTTGAAGTATGCCAAATAATTTCCATTTGGTCAAAAAGAACAAAAATGGATAGAAACCATGGGTTATAGTCCATAAAACTGGCGAGTTGAGGAAAGAAATATGAATTATTATAGGATATTGGGTTGAAATAGAAGAAAATCGACAAAAATTGTAGGTTATAGTCCATGAAACGTGCAAATTCTTTAGTACACCGAAAATAATTTCATTAGGTCGAAACAATCGAAAATCGATAGAAATCATTGGTTAGCCCATGATTATTGCGAGTATTGATGAAAGAAAATATAACTATCATTGGGTTGAAACGGACGAAAATAGACAAAAATCGTGGATTAGAGACCATGAAAATCACAAAATTCGAACTACACATTATTAGTTGCTATTGGGTTGAAATGTACGTAAATTGACAATAATCGTTAGGTATATATCCCATGAAAATCACGAAATTGATTAAGTTATAATTAATATTAGATCGAATGGCCGAAAATTGACAAAATTAGTGGGTTATAGCTCATCAAAATTGTAAATTTTGAAGTACGTCAAATAATTTCATTATGTTGAAATGGAAGAAAATGGATAAAAATCATTGTTTATAGCCCATGGAACTTGCGAATATTGAAGTATGCATTGATAAGGTCAAAACAAATGGAAATATCCAAAAATCATATGTCATAGCTCATGAAAATCATAAGTTTTGGAGAAAGAAAACTTAATTATCATTGGGTCAAAATGGACAAAATTGGATAAAAGTCGTGGATTATTACCCTTAAGAACTGCGAATTTTGAACTATGTGTAATTAGTTGTTATTTGTTGAACAGACAAAAAGGAATAAAAAATTGTGAGTTATAGCCTATGAACTTTTGTAGTGCACCAAATATGTTCTATTAGGTTGAAGTATGCAAAATAATTTCTATTAGTTCAAAACAAACAAAAATGGATAAAATATATTGGGTTATAGCGTATGAAAATTGTAATTCAGTAATTTTGAACTATGTATAATTTGTTGCTATTGGGTCAAAACAGACAAAAAAATGGTGAGGTTAAGTCCATGAAAATTGGGAAATTTGTACTATGTCATAAATTCTCTATTAGGTCGAATCAAAACGAACATGGACAAAAAATGTGGGTTAGCCCATGAAAATTGATAGTTTTGACGAAAATTGTCATTGGATCGAAAATGATGAAAATTGACAAAATAGTGGGTTATTGTCCATGAAAAATTGAAATTTTAAAGAAAGAAAATTTAATTGTTGTTAAGTCGAAATAGCTGAAAATGGGCAGCAACTATGAGTTATAGTCCATGAAAATGGCAAAATTTGAAGTACGCCAAATATTTTCCAGTAGGTTGAAACAAACGAAAATGGACTAAAATCATGGATTATAGCGCATGAAAATTACGAATTTTGAAGTACATTGATAATTTCCATTAGTCGAGACAATTGAAAATGGACAAACATTGTGATTTATAGCCCATGAAAATCACAATTTTTGTGGAAAGAAAAGTTAATTATCATTGGGTTAAAACAGAGAAAAACAGACAAAAATCGTGTGGTATAACCCATTAAAATTGCAATTCTTGATGAACACCAAAAAATTCTATCAGATTGAAACAGATGAAAATAGACGGAGATCGTGATTGTTGCCCATGAAAATTGTGGATTTTGAAGTACACCAAAACAATTTCCATTAGGTCGAAGGAAACAAGAATTGATAGAAATTGTGGGTTATAGACCATGAAACTTGCCAAATTTGAAGTATGCCAGATAATTTCTATTAGGTTGAAACAAACAAAAAGTGGACACAATTTTTGGGTTATAGCCCATAACAATCGTGAGTTTTTGAAGAAAAAAAACTTAATTATCATTGAGTCTAAACTAATGAAAATGGACAGAAATCAATTGTTTTTCTTTTGTTTCAAAATTCAGGATATTGCCTCTGATGGTTGTTTTAGTTTGGGAATGGTAGCTCGATTTGAGCCAGTTTTAAGAGAAAAGGGTGCCTGGATGTATCCTCGTCTCTTTTGGGAAACTGGTGTTCTTGGTCAAGTGCTATACCTTGAAGCTCATGCAGTTGGCATTTCAGCTACTGGTATTGGTTGTTATTTCGACGATGACGGTATGTTTCATTTTATATAAGTTAATAATTTTGGTTCGATAGTTGATATTATGTGCTTTTAACTGGATTTTACTTCAAATGGGTGTTCCTTCTTGATGCAGTGCACGAGGTGCTTGGACCGAAAGGTTCAGAGTTTCAGAGTCTGTATCATTTTACTATTGGGAGTCGAGTGCCTGACAAGAGAATTATGAGTCTCCCTGCATATCCAGGTCCTGGGATTGATGCATAATTCTTGAATTTTTGGCTATGAAGAACAAATAAAATTATACCACACTCCTAAGTTCTTGCCACTGTATTTACTCTCACCTCCTCTGTATACCGTGCACATGTTTACATGTTTCTCTTCTGTAAATTCAGATATATGGAAAAAGAAATAGCTCCAACATTCCTTTGCTCTGCGTTGGAGAGTAATAATTAGCTTTACTTGTCTGTAAATGATGAAGCGTTTTTTTATTTGGGGTTTTTGGAACATCTTGAGCATTGCATCCTGTTTATATGCACTTACTACTTATGTGCCTTGTACATTTGTTGCCGCGAATTAATACATTGGATTAATATTGGTCTTCATCTTGGTTAATTGTTTGTGTTTCTTGGAGTAGTAAAATGTATGTTATGATGGTTCGAATATTGGCCGGAGAAGAAGGAATACGTGCATAGAAATGAATATTATTTTGTTTCAGCTGGGAAATTTGGGAAATTTGATGTTGAAATTATGTTTATTACAAGCATGGGAAACTACAGGCCGTTTGCTTACTTCTTGTTGCAATATCACGTATCAATGTAATGTTTATGATCTATACATTGCATTTTATTTTGCGTCACTTGCGAGCTTGAAGTAAAATCTCATTTTACCAATTCAGAAATGAAATAAAAATAAAATAAAAATAATATAAAAATTTACTTCATTTCATAGAAATTTCTGGTATTAAATTCATTGGTGAGATGTTTGTGCCTGATAGTTAACTTCTTTTTTAAGCGTGTTGTCCATTAACCAGTTAAAGAACTTTTTAACAGATGCTCGCTGAGTTGGTTTGCAGAAGGGAGAACTATGATGAATCCAGTAAGTTAGTGAATCTTAAGTTTTACTTTTCCTTCCACGTAATATTTGCGAAATTCCTTCAGTTATGCATTATTAGGTGAGTAGTAACATCACATTTCATTTGAAAATAAAATAATAAAGCAGCTCCAAAGCAATATTGACATACCACAAAGAACTTGATTAGATTACCAAAAACAAGCATAAAAAAGATTTGTCTGACGAACAAAAACAGATAGAACAAATTAAAACAAAACATGAATTGCACTTGTATAAATAAAGTAGAAAGTTTTGAGTTAATATTGATATCTTCTAAAACCGCCTCTTCCTCTATCCCCCTCTCACTCACTACTGCCTTCACATTTGTGGCTGCAGACAAGGGATGCAGCCTTCATCTTCATAACCTGTAATTAAATCATTAGGAGCGTTCAAATACAATTTAGCTAGCATAACAATCAATATCAATATAGGATGTATTCGACAGAAGAAGAAGAAAAATTCAGATTTATGATATAAAACTCGCTTGTGATGAGTATGGGTGCGAACAAACCGAACAAACACTAATCGTTTATGAATTTGGTTCATTTTATAGATTCAAGCAAACTAAAATCAAATTAATTAAACATTTAACTGTACTAGAATTATTAGTGATCTCGGTATGGAGCCTTTGTTTAGTACCAAAACATGCATTGGGGAAGGAAAAACAAATATTTAAAAGTAATCGAGACAAGAGGAAAAATACTTAAATAAGTACTAGCGATGTGTATTACATTGTGTAAGTTCGCAACCTTAAAGAGAAGTCAGCAACAAGAGTCAAAGTGAATAAGCAATAGGCATTGTACTGTTCATAATTTTGATTTATGAACTGGAGAGCATTCTCATGCTAAGCTAATGTTGCAATCCTAATTATCAGAAAGGATCAACAGTTTTCAGCTGGAAAGAAAGAAAAAACAACATATTTCTCAAGCAATAATTTATAAATATGGACCGTCAACTTTAAATCAATGTTGTTATTCATGGAGGTAAAACTTTGGTGGATATGACTATTATATTCAAAATCAAACAATTAATATTCAGCAGAAGTCTGATCTGGAAATGCTTAAAACTAGTACAACCAGTAGCATGAAACATTGTAAATAATTATGGAACTTTACCATTTTGCTTATGGAACTTTACTATTTTGCTTACTGCCAATTAGATTAAGATATATATGCAGCTAAGCTAAATGAAAAAGTCTATTAAAATCAATACCTTTTTGTTATATGCTTTCGTCTTATCATCCCTTAAAACTTCCCTTAATAGAAAGCATTTGCCAGCGTCAAATCTCTACCTTCTGCATCAACATAGATAGGGGTCAGACCTAGAATTTAAATGTGCACAAGATGTATACATTTAGAGGCAAGAAAAATATTTTATAATGAAATATGATAGGTAAAATAACTAGAATCAAGGCCTTCTCCTCAGAAGCTTTAAAGGCGGCAATCAAGGTACTTTCTCAAACAACAACAAGTCCTCTAAAAATAGAAAAATAAGGTGGCATCGAGATTTTTTTTTTTGGCCATTTCAGTATATAACCAATAAGGGATTTAAACGTAAACAAGACAACCAAAGCTTAAAGAATACAGAAAAGGACATGAATTCACCAGAATTTTTTTGATGAATTGCTTGATTACACGCACTTTGGCTGATGGTTGAGAGATCATAAGAGCATGCACAAATGTAAAGAATTGTTGGAGAGTATGGTTTCCTAGTACCAAACCTGTCCTGCCATTCTGCTTAATTTCTTTTTCATAAAGAAACCAGCCAAAAGTTGCAAGCATTAGTTTAAACGTTGAATAAAAACATAAATGGAAGGAAACATGAAAAAAGAGTTTAGATAGAAATAAAGTCTAAAAAGAGAAAAATAATGTATAATATTTTATCGATAACAGAATATTCGACTAGTATCAGGCTACTCTCCCTAGATATGGATGTTTGAGATCCATATTTGTGTTCTTATCTTCTCAAAGCGTAACAAAAAATAAAACTGCAATTGCTACAGCCTTACGTATAGATGAGTTTTATATCAGGCATATGCTAATTATCCACAAAACGTGAACTACTTATTACTAGG